AAGGGGGGGGGGGGACATATCTTTCGATTTTAGCATGTGCAAAACAACAATAATACACTGTTCATGTGGAACACATTTGGATGAACACGACTGCCATTTTTCCAGCTCCCACATAGTTTTGTGTGTGGATGCACGACACAGATTGATCAAAGTTTATTTTGTAACCGAGCGTTTGATTGTTTACCGACCAAATAACGTTTATCTTTGCCCACGGTGGACATTGTTCGGGTCTGAATGCCACCTTGTTTTACTAATCTTCCTCAAATAATTATCTAATGTTCCGATAATTTGACCACCCACAGTTTTGTTTACGTGAAACACGGCATCGATATACCGTGTACTGTTACACAGTGCGGGATAGTCACAGCAGCAGTAGCAAGGCGTTCCCCGTATGACTGCGAACTTGTTATGAATCTGATCCAAACTGTCCGCCCTCGTAATCCCCATGGAACCGATTGTGCTTCATTCAGTACGTCCGGGTGTCTGTGTGAGTGTGGTCTGCATTGTTCCAATGACAGATTATTCCTATTTCCAGTTTAATGATCACTGTTCACAAAAGTGTTATTCGTAAGACCTGTTTTGAGGTTTGGAATGCACACATTGCTGAGCGCAATCCACAGGCATACGTGATGAGTGCACCCAAAATGCGGTACGTGGGATACACGTGATGACAGTCAGAAGCGTATGAAGCTTAGATACAAACTATGTCACTTCTATTTCTACCTCACTAGCGGTAACATATGGAACAGTTAGGGTCTGATCACCACTGGAGCTTTATTGTCACGGATTTCTGGTTAGCAAAGCGATGATAAGAATGAGTATGAAACCGGATGGGGATTACTTGTTTGTATCAGGATAGCTGGAATCTAATGGAAAATGACTACTAGGAATTGCGTAGAATGATAACGACAATCTGGACAGATATAGGTCGACTTTTTTCGACGATCAATGTCGAAACATTGAATATCTTTGCCAATAACATTTTTTGGAAGCCAATATGTCAAAAGTATGTAAAGATGTTTACTTATTTCTAATTGGATAGAAGACGAAAGTTTAAAACATCTGTGGAAATCAATTCCCGAATCAGTTAATTATATATCTAAAAATAGATATATGCATACGCAGCCAAATAAGTATAGAGATATATAGATAGATAGGTAGATAGATAGATATATAGATAGATAGATAGATAGATAGATAGATAGAGAAATGAGCATGAGTACAATGAGCCTCCTGATTTTGGAATTCCTATTATTGGAGTCAGTGCAGAACAATATGTCAAATTTATAGAACTTTCGATATCTGTAATTTTGTGATAGTTAAATTAGACAATTGCGATTAGTGCATCCTTTTTCGAACATATTCAGATGTATGGTATTTTTATTTCGAGATTTTAATTGTTCGGTAAGACTACCCAGAGATGGAGTCTCACTATGGCGATTTTGCCCTTGTGCAACTCACCGTTGAATAATCAACTTATTGTTATCTAAATCATTGGAACTGGTTTAGTTTGGAACACCAAATCACAAGGTCAGAGATATATTGATTTCTGTGCGACATAAACCTGGTTGACTAGACAATGCTCACTGAACTTCAGCTCGTTATTCACAAATGTTCCCATCAGCGAATCTATTGAGCACCTGTGTAGTTCTGCGCAAGCTAAGAATTCAGAACTAGGCCGTTCCTTTGGATGACCTAAAACAACTGTTTTATTTCTTCACGCATGATGTTCAATTCAATTTAAACCTTGAAATCTATCGACAAAAGGATGATGTGGCAACGGGTTCTCCGCTGGGACCACTGTTTTACAGAAATTATCATGTTGAAAGTGGAAAACACTCGATTACAACCATATATGTGAGACTGTGTATCATACGCACGGTACATGGATGATACTGTTTGTGCGATCAACACGAACACAAGCACAATTGAGCTGTTAGGCAGTTTCAACACGGCCCGTCAGAACATAAAATTTACTTCAGAAATGCAATAAAATAATACATTGTCGTTTTTAGTTGTCTGCATCACTCGTGGATGTAGTTCGACGCGGCGTTAGGTGAACAGAAGCTTTGTACAGCAAAATGGGCCAAAAGTAGCCTCATTTGTTGCTTGTGGGATACGATAAAACAGATCCCCAATGAGAACGGGCTAGAGGACCAGCCTTGCAAAGGACAACACATCATCTAAGATCATTCAAAGAATTTCATCCAATAGAATTGATAAAAATGTTCTATGCATCAAGGCTGTGTGTTGTGTTCGAGCTCAAAGCAGTTGTCCTTTTTGTGATTGAAGGACAAAGTTTTCATTTTGAGGTAGGCGCGATGCCCGCAACCACATCACGAAGGCGGTTTGTACCAAATGGTCTATATTCAAAATGAGAAACGGTGTGATCAATTGCCCGTTGGCCGGGTGGGTAGTTTGCTTTCATTCTAACTGTGAGGTCTCGAGTTCGATACAAGATCCACACACTGCTGATGAGACCCAACTAGGAAGTTGCACAACTTTAACCTATATATGTGTACTTCAGTCGGATTCACACTTCAGTCAACTCACCTCGAGCTTAACTGGTACTGGTCGAAGCAGAATATCGTGAACCAGGTTGATAATCCCAAATCATTTTTATTCCTATTAGGGGCAATGTGCTACGTCGTACGATTAGTCCAGTTTGACGCGTTGCTGAACCGACCATCGTACGTCTGTCTGTGTACGATTTAGTTGTTTAGGTAATAGTTTTATCACCGCTTTCCGTCAATGGTTATAACTGTCCTCGTATTGAATCTTCTACTAGTTGCTGTCTTGGTTCTCATGATCGTAGTTTTCAGACAGCATTGACCATCGGTTGCAGAAAGCGGATAAATCAACAAGCAAGCTCCTTTTCGGTGCTTCATTTGGTTGGACTTTCGCAATTTACCGCATTCATCCACAGGTTGTTTAATGAAATGCGAATTTCTGAAGATACTCTGTGTACTTTAAAGCAATTATTTCCCGAAATAAACTTAAACAAAGAACACAACAGTGCAAGCGAGCAAGATCATTTCGCTGCATCTCTTTTCTGGTGCTTACTGTAGAATACAAATCACTTTATACATCACGGTTGTTAATATTCTAACATAATAGCAATTCACTCTTCCGCTTACGTGATTACAAAGGTAATGCCAAACTGATGTACACCTCCTTGTGCTGACAAGGCAGGAGCTTTCGGCGCTTGATTTCTATGGTCTCTGCAAACCTCAGCAGCCGTCCACTCGAGGTTGTGTAAACAACCTGACAAGAAGTCCCGTATTCGACTGGTTGGCCAGTGTGCAGCAGATGGCGAGCAATTGATGATGCAGGTATTCTGTGCGGCTGGCTTGATGGGCTGGTTGTATGTGTGGCCCTCAATCTGATTCGTTCGCGTTCGAACCATGCTGGTATATGTTCGGCCACTCAGGTGAACAGTTATCTCTCTGTTCTGCCCACGTATGTGGATCCACACCATAGATCACGTGCCATGTCGCGTACTGAGGGAGTGGTGATTTCACCAAGGGCAGCGGAATCTGGGTTGTGGTGAAGCGAACGAAATGATTTGGAGCAAAAATATGCTGGCTACCGATGCCACGAGCCACCTTTGTACCAGTTGGCTTACATCGTCACCTTTGAGTGTCAGTTGAATGAGAACGTCACATTTTGGTGCTGTGATACCCGAGGTCTTGGGTTCGGCTTGTACACTGTGTATTTTATTTGATTGCCCTTACTTGATACATATTACATCTAACACATTTAAGGGCATGATGCTGCTCACTGTTTGACGGATAGGAAATTTGACTGGACAGAAGTGAATAAGTGGGATTTATTAGAAAATGAACTTCGTCGTATACAAAGTAAATGTAACAGTGGGTAACTGTTTCGGCCTATTGGGGTCTCATCTGTGTAAGATGTACGAGGAGTGATGCCAGCAGCAAGCTTACAAAGATGGCTCGTGCTATTTTCTGAATGAATAAATTGAATAACGGCTTAATAAGCTGTCTGGTGACTAATTGGATACTATGCTTGCACTCTACCTACCCCGGGTTCGATCACCAATTCGATAG